CGAGTTTGAATAATTTTTTGTTTTTCTCCTTAACATTTTATTGGGGAAATATTGACACTTAGAGAGAAGTTGAAAAAAAAAAAAAAAGAAAAAGAAAACGAGCCCTCCTGCTGCTGAGGTTCCCCACTTAACACTGTGCTTTATTGTGAGCGAACGCTTCCCGTCACCGAAACCCCGTCTTACCCCTCCCTGCGTTTCCCAGCACCTGGGAGGAGTCAGGACACGTCCTCCCAAAAAAGTCCAGCGAGCCTTTCGACAGCGTTTGGTCTGTGTTTCCACCTGCTAGGTCCCTTTGCCCGCCGCCGCACACCCACCCCCGGTGTGCCTCTCGAGTCCCGACAACCGCGTGTCACCCCCGCAGCCGAGCCCCCGACTCTTGCCGCCGCGGCTCTGTGCTGCCTGCGCGGCCCTAACCCTCCAGACGACGCCACGTGCGTGCCCGTGCCCCCAGCTGTCCACAGCTGCAGGCTCTGCTGAGTGTCCCGTGCCCGGACCACTGCCGGTGTTCATCCGGACCCTTGTCAGCTGATTTCGGGGCAGGACCGGCGTTTGCTATGATGCGCAGGGCTTCCGTGGACGTCTTTGGCAAGCCTGTGTGCAGACGAGTGTTTTCATTTCTCTCGAGCACATACCTGGGGGTGCGGTGGCTGGGTCACGGAGGGGGGGTGGTGACTGCAGTTTCATAAGGAACTGCCGGACCTTGCGCCGCGTGTCTGCACCCCCGCCTCTGCCTCGCATGAGGAATTTTGGCTGCCCCCCCGCGAGCTCTGCCTGCTGTCCTTTCCACCCGAACCACTCCAGTGGGTGAGTCTGATGAGCTCGGACACACGCACACACCTCGGTCCTCGGAGAGAGAAACTTCCGTGGCCGGGAGTGCCCCGCCCGCCCTTTCTGCTCCCGGGCCACCCCTCCTGGCCACGCCAGCCCCGCCACCCGCACAGCCCGGATGGCACTCGCGCTCTCCGTCCCACTTGTTCATTTAACTTCCGTTTTCCTGTTTTGAGGCGAGTGCCGAGGAGGGACGCACTGTACGGAATAACACAGAGGGGCCCTGCGTCCCCCGAGGCCGTTTCCCCAAGGTTGACGTCCTACAGAAGGCCCTCACTGCCACCACCCACGTCTGGACACTGACATGGTCCACGGACCTCAGCCACCACAGGGGCCACCGAGGACCCCGGGGTCGCGACCGCCCCCCTGGGCAGCTGCTAATCTGCCGGCATGTCTTTGGGTTTCCGCGTGTTTTGAGGTTTGCCCGCATTGTCCTGGGCGTCACTGAATCCCTCTTCCGGCCAGGTTCCGGCCTCTGGCCGTGACCCATGGTGTGGACTCCTTCACCCGTCGGTGGCCGCTGTGGCTCTTCGGGGGCCTTCTGGCGCGACAAGTGTGCCGCGGCGATGTCCGGGGATGTCTGTGCGCACGTGAGTTTCCAGTTCTCTCGGGGGAGCTCGCGGGGCCACGACCGCTGGGGCTCTAAGCTCACGCCGGCTCGTGCGACGTCCCCTCCGCCTCACACGGTCGCCGACGTGCTGTTTGCTTTTCCACTTGGAAGCGCTCTGGAGGGCGTGGAGCGACCTCTCCTGCGTGCACCTTCCGTCTCTCCGGCGGGCCGTGTTGCTCCTTCCGTGTGGTTGTCGCTGTTCCCCGCGTCTTTCTTCGTCAGGGTCTGACTGGGTGGCTTGTGCTGGTGGCGTAGCTGTGTCTGCCGCGACGAGCTGCTGTCCACGCTCTGCTGTCCCGTCCGTTTGCACGCTCACCCCGCGTCTCGCGCCGGGTGGGGCGTTCCCGGGCGTTCTGATCGCCAGGCCCTTGGCAGAGGTGTGACTTGCAAACTCTTCCTGTCCTGGCATCACGTGTTCATGTAACGTGGTTTCTGGAGGACCTTCCCGTGTACACTCCGATGAAGCCCAACTTGCGAGCTTTTTTCTTTCCTGGCTCCTGTGTTTTGTGTCCCATCCCGGAACTCCCCGCCACGGTCTTCCCGGAAGCGTCACGGGTTTGGGTGTGATGCATAGGTCTGTGGTTCACGCTGATTTCTGTGTGCACATGTTCTGGTACTGTTTGCCCGAAACCTGACTTTTACCCATTGAATCGTCTTGCTGACCACATAGTTAGCAAGGCAATCGATTCATTTATCTGTTTATTCAATTATATGTATATATATTTCAACTAAGGAGGATTTATGGAATGATGTGGAAGCTTTTCGATAGTTAAGAAAGCGAGGAAACGTGATTTGAACTTCGATAAAGAAACATGGCATCTTAGACACAGAGAATACATTCTACACACATAAAGTGAGAAAGTCAATGTTGGGTGAAATGCGTACTTCATCTTTCTCAGTTGGGTTATGCCCCATTTAGGTCTGATCTGGCCTGGAAGCACCTGGTGGGGACGGGAACGTGTGCGCCCGCAGTGCACACTCTCCAAAAGCTTCCGTGTGTTCTTTGCACAGTGCACACACCGGGCACCTGTTTGGTGGACAAGGCTGAGCAGGCTCAGGGTCAGGCTGTGACTTCCATGCGGACATTTTCAAATACACCTCGTGGGCACTTTAAAGAATCGTGAAGAGTGCAGATTTGGGGAAACGTGAGAAATGGGGTGCCCCAAGGACACTCTGGTTGTGAGGTCAGCGCCCTTCCCCCCGCCTTCCTCTGGCCCCCTGGCGGCCTCCCTCCATGACAGTGCCGGCCCCCAGACCCTGGCGCTGACATGGCCGGAACAGAGCCTTTCCTGTCCCAAATCTGCTCGCACCCCGCTTTGCTGCTAACACGGCCTGACTAGTTTGAGCGTTTAAAAAATTTTTCTTATTTTAATTATAATCTCTTTTCTGCTTTTCAACCAAAGATTGTGAGCTAAATTTTCAAGTGTTACGATGTACCATTTAGCATGTGAGAAATCACGTCGTAATGTATCACAGGACGTGAGAAAAAACACCGTAATCACCTCCAGAGTGAAACCTGTATGTTTATGCTGACAGACGTCGGTATTGTTAACTCTGTCTGCCTCATGTATCACGTGGAGGTCGCATCGGCGGGTGAGCCCGAGCGCCTTGCCCTTGCCCCCGGGCCTGGCGTGTGGTCTTTTCTGGCTGCCACATACATGTGTGACCGCTCTCGCGCGGGGTCCCTTTCTCTCAGGGGCAGGGTCTTCCTGTCCAGAGGAAGCACGGCCTGTGTGCGCATGTGTGTGCAAGTGGTGTGTGCCGCGAGCAGCCACGCTGGCCTGTGCACACGTATGTGCATGAGCGAGCGCATGTGAGCCTGTGCACAAGTGTGCGGTGCACGTCTGACGCACAAGTGAGTGTTCGGAATTCAGCCCCTTCTTCAGACGTGGGGCTGTAAGCGTGGGAGAGGCCCGGGCAGGAGGCTTCCTGGACAGAACCTCCCACACACATGAGGCTTGGCCCGGCGGTTAGGGCAGCCTTGCCGGGACTCGGACTCGAAGGGTGCTTTGTGTGCGGGAGGCACAGGGTTGCCTGGACGTCTGTCCGGGACGCTGCTGTGCCATTCATAAGGAGGGTGAGCAGCCTTTGCAGGAGCCGCTGGGCCTTGGGTTCCGTCCACGTGGTAGCAAGGCCACACCCACTCCTTCCCACGCGGAGCGAGAGTCCCCGGCGAGGACGGACCACCCTGCTTGCTCGCTGTCCCCCGACATTGGGGTTTTCCTCTTCCTGGTGTGGATACGCCGTGTGTTCGCCATTCTTGGGCACGAACGCCTCCGAGGGGGCCGGTGGTCACTGCGTCTGGCCTCTCGAGGACGCGTCACCCTGTCCCCCGCAGCTGCACCCCAGGACGTTCTACCAACAGTAGAGGAGGTTTCAGCGCCTTTACGTCCTTATCAGGACGCCACAAGACGCCCTTGGGAGCGTCTGCCTGGTCCAGTGGATTCTGGCCACGCTGGTGGGTGTGAAGTGGCCTCTCACGGGTTCGAGGAGCGTGTCCCTGATGGCCGATGGTGTCGGACATGGCTCACTGGTCATTTCTGTGTCTTCTCTGAATGAGTATCTGCTCAGGTCCTTTGCCCGTTTTAAAGCCAGGTTATTTTTCTTTTTAGTGAGTTGTGAGTGTTCTTTATATATTCCGAATAGGATTTCATATCGGATGTATGATTTGTGGATATTTTTATGGGCGATCTTCTCTCTCCCTTCCTTTCCTTTCCCTCTCCTTTCCGTCCTTCCTCCCTTCTCTTCTCCCTCCTCCCTTCTTTCCTCCACACTCCCTCCCCGCTCTCTCCCCCTCCCCCCTTCCTTCCTCCTCTCTCCTTCATTTTTTTAAAAAGATTTTATTTATTTATTTGACAGAAAGAGACACAGCGAGAGAGGGAACCCAAGCAGAAGGAGGGGGAGAAGCAGGGTTCCCACCGAGCAGGGAGCCCGATGTAGGGCTCGATCCCAGGACCTTGGGATCATGACCTGAGCCAAAGGCAGACACTTAACAACTGAGCCACCCAGGTGCCCCTCTTCCCTTCATTGTAAGTGAGCTCCACACCCAGTGCTGAGCCCGGGACCCTGAGGTCTCGTGTCCCCCGCGGCCCGACTGAGCCTGTCTTCTCCTCGTCTTGAGCGGGCCTTTGAGGCAGAGACGTGTTTCCTTTCCACCGAGCTTATCTCTTGTGGGGCCGGTGGTTTCGGCGTCCCGTCTGAGAGCCCGCCGCCCAGGCTGAGAGCCGGCAGACTTTCTAAGAGTTTGGTAGGTTTAGCTCTTCTCTTTGGTCGTTGATCCATTTTGAGTCAGGCTTCTCTGAGGGATGGAAGCCCCGCGGGCGCTGTGCCTCTGGCTCTCAGCCCAGAGCAGAGATCTGAGCGGGTCCTCGTCCTCCTGTGGGGGGAGGGCGCCCCCATCATGCTGAGCGGAGCCCCCACCGGAGGCCGTCCTGGGGCAGGGGAGGGGCGTCGGCGGGCAGGACGGGACACCGGGTGGTCGGGAGGCTCGTCACCTCAGCTGCTCCTAGATGAGGTTTCCCCGTGGAGGGTCCGAGAATGACCTGCTGCTTTCCCCCCACAGATGCGGACTTGACGGTCACGGAAGCCAGCGGCACGGACAGCCGCGGGGAGAGGGCTGAGCTCTTTGGCCACATGGACGAGGGTCTCCTGGGAGGAGAAGCCAGCTACCTGGGCCCGCCCCTGACCCCGGAGAAAGAGGAAGCCCTGCACCAGGCCACCGCGGTGGCCAACCTGCGGGCAGCACTCATGAGCAAGAACAGCCTGCTGTCCCTCAAGGCCGATGTGCTCGGGGACGACAGCTCCCTGCTGCTGGACTACCTGCCCAAAGGCACCCACTCCCTGTCCCGTAAGTGCTTGGGGAGCAGGGGGAGCGGCGGGGGCTGGTGGGGGGTCTGTGGGGAGCCAGACCGGGGCTGGAGGTGGCTGGTGGCTCATGGTGGCTGACGGCGGACGTCGAACAGTGAGTGCTCGAGGCACTTGCCCCGAAATCAGGCATCTGAACCGGAAACCTCGTCAAGCTCAGGCATGCAGGGCACGAGCGTCGGGAAGGAGGGACAGGGCCTCTGTGTGAAGGGACAGGCGCGGGCTCCCTCTGCTGGCCCTCGCCCGCCTCCGTGCCCCCCACCCCCCCCACCCCGCTGCGGGAGCGAGGAGCGAGTCCTTGCTTTGTCTGCACAGGCTCCTGCCGCCTCCAGCCCATGTCTCCGGCGGAGTCTCGCCTGGCTCCCGGCCAACCCCGGTTTGCGGGAGCCGATGACAGACTGACTGGGAAGCGGCCAGAGGTACAAGCGGCCGCCCAGCGCCCCCCGCCCGGGCTTTCTGCCCCTCACGACACACAAGGGCATTGGAGGGCCCGGGAGCCCGCGGGGCCGCAGCTGAGCGCAGGCCGGACGCTCTGAAGATCTCGTCCTGCTCGCGCCTGGCTGCTCACCGCGGGCGCTGGAGGGAGCGAGGCGCCAGGGCCCCGCAGGTGCGAGCGGCGCGGCAGCCGCTGTGGCCGCGGTGGTACCCTGACCCCCGCTGGAGGAAGCGAGGCTCCCGTGCCGCAGGGCTTCTTGCTCTCGTCTCGCTCTGAGTTCTTGCAAGTGTATTTCCACGAGCACTGACAGCCCCTAAATTTCAGTGTCGGAGTGACGCAGTTTGCTCGTGGCTAGTAAAGACACGGGTGGGGCCAGTGCTTCTGTTCCTTCATTTCCCGCACGTCCTCAAGAGCCCGGCCGCGGCCCGAGCAGCCTGGACGCCGTGCGCAGTTCCCGGGGCTCAGCTGTGAAGTCAGGCCCCACGCGGAGCACCTCGCGGACGGGCTGCCCGGCTCGGGCCTTCAGAGACGTGTTGGGGCCGCGTTGCCCCAGCTGAACAATGCATCCCGCAGCTGTTGGCGGTTTAGGACAAACTGGTGTCTGTGAACCCTCGAACGCTTGTCCCCAAGTGCTGGTCCTAACCCCCTCCGCCTGCCGCCACTGACCTTGTGCCGCCAGCCAGCCGGGGCTAATGGGCTGCTGTGAACCCGGGGCTCTGGGGGGCGGGCCCTCCCCAGGCCCCCTGACCCCCTGCAGCAGGTCCCACACCTCAGTGAAGTCCCTGGGCACAGCTCTCCTGGATGGGCTTTTGTCCGTGAGCTCCCTCCTCGCATGTGGTCACCCGGCACGATGAATACATCTCAACACGGGGCTGAGCCCCAGCGCCTACCCCGGGCATGCTGTGGAAGGGTGATTGCCGGACTCTTCCCAGTTTGGAGGGAGCAGGGAGAGCCTTTTCGTTTATTTTTAGTGTGTCTGTGACCAATTCCTCGTAAAGTCACCTGGTGGGTTTTAGTATTTTGTTATTTCTGTTATGTTTTCATCTCCTTGCTTTTTTTTTTCCCCCCAAGATTTTATTTATTTATTTGACAGAGACAGCACGAGAGGGAATACAAGCAGAGGAGAGGCAGAGGGAAAGAGAGAAGCAGGCGTCTGGCTGAGTAGGGAGCCTGGTGTGGGGCTCAATCCTAGGACCCCAGAATCATGACCTGAGCCAAAGGCAGACGCTTAATGACTGAGCCACCTAGGCACCCCTTAATCTCCTTGCTTTTAATATTCTAACTTCCCCCATTTTTTTGGTAAGAACCTACCAGAGGCAGAGGGACTGGAGAACTTGGTGAGAAAATGGGTTATTTTAAAATATTATTTTCTGACATCCTAAGTCAGGTCTGTCTGTTTCCAGGTATATACTAAAACGAGGAATGAAGATACCCCAATAAAAACTTTGTTTCCCCAAACGTTGTGGTCAGCCTGCATCGTGGCTAGCCCCCGTCCCTGGCGGGCAGCCTGGCAGAGTCAGCAGACAGAGGCTATGGTTGAAACGTGGCTGTGGCAGCCTTTCTGGGCACCTGGTTTGGAGACGTGTGTCCCTGCGAAGGGCACCAGGATTAGCTGCATGGCCCGAGCCACCGCTATGTGCCGCGAGATTGCGAGAGGGAGCCGAGGCAACTTCGTTTGCTCTCCGTCTGTCTGTCTGCCCCATGCTGCCTGTTTACAGGTGCAGTTTCTCTAAGTGCTCATGGCAAAGCGGCAGGACGGGCAGAAGCCCGTGTCGGTCGCCTCTCCGCCACCGCTGCTGGTTTCCGGGCGCGCCCTCGCCTGCCAGAGCAAGTGTCCCCTGAGCACGGTGTGGCAGCGACGTGGTCACATGTTTCTGCCCTCGCTGCCCACCAAGGGCTCACCCGCTTTGTTGGGACGGGGCCCCTCGTGCTCCTGCTCCACCGCCGGCTTGCCCAAGCTCCCCGGGCACCCTGCGCAGCGGCTGGCATTGCCGGCCCGTGGACGGGAGACCGTGTGTGTGTGGGAGGACTCCATGGCACATCTGAAAAGGCGCTCAGAGCAAGCCGGCAAGGTCACCATGGCCACCGAGCGTCCCACCGAGTGCAGACGCCCCAGGCTCCAACAGCAGGGGGCTAGCCCTCTGCTCAGGCGGGCACAGGGGCCTCTGTGCTCCCTCCGAAGGTGGCTTGGGAAGGAGGTGGGGCCTGTACGGTGCTGTTGGGCATCTCTAGACCCCGGGGGTGAGGGTGGGCAGTGCCAGGCGGCTGGACTTGGTCCCCCAGCTGCAGGTGCCTTGAGCTGGTTGTTAATGCTGGATGTTGGGTCCACATCTCAGCAGGCATGGGCTCGTCGTTGGAGAAACGGGGGGCAGGTGTGATGTTTAACAGGAAGCAGCCGCAGCCCAGGAGGCGCTGTGTGGGGCTCCCAAGGCCCCTGGCGATTCTGTCTGGTCTTCCCAAGAGGGGGAGTGCTGTGGGCCACAAACATGGTCTGCTCGCGGCGGTTTTGCGCAAGAACAGGATGATGGTTCCAGGTGTTTAAAGTCAGGGGACCCTTAAATGTGCAGGCAGTGCTGGAGCTGTGACGAGCCGCCGGGACCCACCTCTCGGGACAGTCTGGAACCTTCCAGGGAAGGTCTCGGGGGTCTGATCACAGGGTCTTGGCTGTTGGCTTCAGCAGATGGTTTCTTTCTAGACCCGCGGCCTTTACCTGGTTAAAGAACCTTGCGTGCTTTCTGTGTGAGCCGAACTCGATTCTCTTACCTCCATTACGTGTTCAGTGGTAGGCGAGCCCCTGCCTGTTCAGAGTCACCGTTTATGGACTAGAAACTATGAGAAACTCTGACTGGCTGAGGCGCGGTTCTGGGTTACAAGTTGTATTTGTGAGCGAGCCGGGGTCTGGGGGGCCTGGACTCGGGCGTCGCCTTCTCGGACCCGGCAGAATGTCTGGCGCACATGGGTCGCTGCTTGATTTCCTGGAACCGCTGGAGGGAAGGAGGCCGGCTTGCCGTGGGTCCGGGAGGACGAGTGTCTCGTAAAGCTGCCACATCCTTCCAACAGCTGAGGTGACTCTGATCTGAGAAGCGTCGTCCCTGGTGATTGCCGCCGTTTGACCGGTAGACGCTGCTTCTGAGAAAGAGCTTGGGGTCTCCCCCTCCGAGTTAGAGCTGGTGCTGACCCATCTGAGTGGAAGGATGGGCCAAGTTCCCTCCTGTTCCTCCAGGGAGGGGACACCGGAAAGGTCCTGGGGGAGCAGCGGTGGGGGCTCCCCGCACAGGACCAGGGGCTGCCACCAGGCCGTGACGTCCCTTCCCAACCCTTGTGTCTACGGGCTGCCCAGATGTCCAGGAGCACTTTGAGGGACACTGCCGAGCTGGTTTCTGTCCTGGCTGTGGCTTAGAGAGGAGTCCTCACCGGGTGTGAAACAGGAGCCAAGGACCTGTCCTTGATTCTGGATCAACGCTGGAATTTTGGACGATGCCACTAGCTTCTAGGTAGATGGCCAGCACAACACACCTTGGAGTGGTTTCCAGAAGATGGCTTCTCCAGGCCGCGGGTGTGCGTGTGCCCGTGTTCTGCCCGCGTGTGCTGACTTCCTGGTGTGCAACCCTCTGTCATAATCATTTCGCTTCTGGGAGAGAGACCCTACCCCAAGCAAGCCGCGTGCGGAGACCCTGCTGTCGGGGTTGCTGAGCTGATAGAAACGCCCAAACGGACGCCCAGACGGACGCCCAGCAAGACCCAGAGCGCTCCGTGCGCGCAACAGCAAGACCGTGCGGCCGCTTCTGGGACTCGGGAGCAAGCCCACCGGCGGCGTGCGCTCACGCGCTGAGACTCTCTTCCTGTGTTCCCAGGGCCTGGCAGCAGCCCCAGTCCTCCTGGGGGGATGCTGATGGCAGAGCAGAAGCCCCTCCCTCGGGCGCCTCCGCCCTCCACTCAGAGCCCGGGATGCCCGCTCTGGTGAGTGGCCAGACTGTACCAGGACAGCACCGCCCCCCCAGCCCAGGTAAGATGGGAGGGGGCTGCCACGTCCCCCAGTGTCGGCTGCCCGTGTGGCACGTGTGTGCCCGGAACTCCGCATGCGCTCACGTGCATCCCTGGTATGTCCCCAGTGTGTCTGCGTATGCCAGGCCGTGCTCGGGGGCTGGTAAGGAGTTTCTGTGCTGGAAGCCACTGTTCCACTGCGTCCTGCTGGCTCAGCCCCACCGGGCGAGGCACGCCCAGCTCTGCAGTAGCGACTCTGGTCACGTAGACTGAAACCGCCCACGCGTGTACACAGGTGTCACCTATGAATACGTAGCATCAGCGACAGGTAGCACGGTACTGTCTTCAGATGACAGCCGTGCCCACGGCAGCACACCTGCCATCCGTCCCCGCCCGCTGCCATGCTTCCCATCCTCCGTGCTTGTGGAGTAGAAACACATATTTGAACAAAGTTAAGCACAAGTGCCCTTTTTCACCGAAGGAGGAGGGTTCTTGGGGAACGTCTGCCCCTCGTGGAAAGACATTCGGCTCAGGCCACAGCGGTTAAAGTCAGCAGCGCACGC